TTTTCAAATAAAATTAAAACAAAAAAATAATTTTAAATAGTATTTTTCTTGTATGTTCTCTTGTATGACTGTAATAGGAAATCAGACACACATTTTAAATGTTCAATAATATTTATACTTGAAACCTGCTAGCTTAGAGCCAGTGTTCTGGCACAATGGGTTAAGCTGCTTCCTGCAGTGCCAGCATCCCATATGAGTGATGGTTCAAGTCCAGGCTGCTCCACTTCCCATCTAGTTCCCTGCTAATGCAACCGGGAAAGCAGCAGAGGATGGCCCAAATCCTTGGGCCCCAGCACCCATGTGGGAGACTCAGATGAAACTCCTGGCTCCTGGCTTCAGCCTTGTCCAGCCCGGCCATTGCGGCCATTTGGGGAGTGAATCAGCAGATGGAGGATCACTCTGTCTCTCTGTCTCTCTCTCTGTAACTCTGGCTTTTAAATAAATAAAATACACACACACATACATACACACACACATATCTGCTAGCTAAAAAACAATAAATTCTCTAAAAGGATAAATTAGGTTCCAAAAATTGAAAGAACTTGTAAACGGAAAATGTTTGAAAAATATCAAGATACACAGAAGGCTGGGGGTGGAAAACTCTCACTGCTATATTCCAAATGAGGCATAAGTTGGGTTTGTTTCAGTAACTACAGAATGGTGAGGCTGGTGTTAATTTCAGGCAGGAAGAGTCTGGGTAAAGGGAAAAACAAAAACGAAGTGATCCAGCTACCAAAGAGAACACAAAGCCATAGCAAGATGTATGTGTGAATATTTATAGTGGGCTCTTTTCATAATAACCAGACACTAGAAACAAACACTCCCTGACAGGGAAATGGTCAGAGGAAACGCGTTGCAGCCCCACAATAGAGTAGCACTCAAAGGACGCAGAACACAGTCCTCGTGGAGCAGCGACACGCGTGGATCTCCAATCACTGTCCTGAGGCAAGGAAGCCCAGCACCAGGAGGACCTGCTGCACGACTCCACTAGGAGAAAACGCAGCTAACTCCGGGGATGGTGCGGAGGCCAGCGGCTGCTTGAGCACAGGCATGGAAGGAAGGACTGGATCTAACAGGCAACCCGGGAGAATGAAGGAAATGTTCCGTGTCTACACCACACCGGTGGTTTCAGGGATCTCTACAGGATCCTGGCAATATTCATCACATTGTGTACGTTAAATGGGTGCAAGTCGTTCCTTTGTAAAAGTCAGAAAGGATCTCAAAAATGACCTGGGGCTGATTAGGACACAGTATATTGTCATTATGAAAATGTCATGCTGGTCTGGAAGACTTTCCTTCTTCCCCAGCGCTGCTGAATTGCAACATCTGAGAAACGCAGTGCATGCCAGTGCGTGAGCCTCTGCAGAATGTTTGCACGGAGACTTCATGATCTTCTGTCGCATCCAGTGAAGAGCTATGGCAGAGCCTGGTGCAAGGACAGTCACAGGGCTGGTGAAGATTCCTGTGCCACCCTACATTCCTAGCGGCAGATCACTGCAGTCGAATTTAGCTTGTTCAACCTTCAAATCAGTTATTTGTCTGAAACACCTAAGTGCTCAACCACCAATTTTGTTTCAACTGAACATCAGTGTCTTGGACAAAAGATGAGGATCTAAGTTATCTTTATAGACTGGGGCGGGGGGAATTTACATGTAAGAAGGTTAAACTTGCCAAGTACATCTATTAAATAGCCAAACGGAGTCTAAAATTTAGTTTTCCAAATGTGCAGGACATTAGAAAAAACAGCCTTAGAGTCTAACCAACATTGAGATAAGTCAATCAATGAAGCATAACCCTTAAAGATGCTAAGATGACCTTGTGTTGAATCAAGAGAGACAAGCTTTACTGAAGGAGGTGAAAATTATGTTCTATTCTCCATAAGCTTATATTTTTAAAATAATGCATTAAATTCTTGGTGGGATGTTCAGGGGGGAGAAGATTAGAATCAATGTGCTTCCAATATAGGAGATGGTTAAAACATGGTCACTTCTTAGTCATCATCAGCATCTATCTTGATTCCAGCCATCACCATAATTACTTTTTATAAATAAATGGTGTTTATAAACTCATTGACAAGACTTGGATTGATTAGAAACCTGCCAGGAAGTTGGAGAGCTAACACAAGGAATACAGGAAATAGATGGCTGCAAAATCTTTGTCACTTCTCTCCATCAGTAAATTGGATATCTCCCAAAAGTATAATATTTCCCATTGAATCTGGACTGAATTTTGTGTCCACTTTGACCAGGGGAATGAAGTGAAAGAGATATTGTGCCAGTTCCAAGCCTAGTCTTTAAGAACTTCTGTTTCGGGGCTGGTGCCGTGGCGCAGTAGGTTGATCCTCCGCCTGCGGCGCCGGCATCCCATGTGGGTGCCAGTTCTAGTCCCGGCTGCTCCTCTTCCTATCTGGCTCTCTGCTGTGGACTGGGATAGCAGTGGAGGATGGCCTGAGTCCTTGGACCCCTGCACCCGTGTGAGAGACCTGGAGGAGGCTCCTGGCTCCTGGCTTCGAATCTGCGCAGCTCCGGCCGTTGCGGCCATCTGGGGAGTGAACCAACGGAGGGAGGACCTTTCTCTCTGTCTCTCCCTCTCACTGTTTTTAACTCTACCTCTTAAATAAATAAAATCTTAAAAAAAAAAAAAAAAAAGAACTTCTGTTTCCGCTCTCTTGGAACCTACCATGTTAAAAGGAACTCATATGTGGCAGGATGGAGTAGCACAGCCAACAGACCATGCTGAATTCCCTGCCAACAGGTAACTTCAACTTGCCAGCTATGTTGTGAGCCACTTGTATGTAAATCATTATTTCATTAAGCAACCTCAAAAATGAGTTTTCACCCCTGGGCTTTGTACAAAATAATTAGCAAATAAGGTATTGTTTTAAGACGTAAGTGTTGAAGTGGTTTGTTATGCAGCAAGAGACAGCTGTAACACATCATTGACTATATGAAGAATTATCAAATGCATGGCCCCATGGGTTAGAACTAGGAGCAAGGCACAGAATCAGAACTCACAGGCATAACTTGGAGAATTTCATTAAGAAGCAGGCTATAATCCCAAAAATAAGATCAAGCAGAGAGACCCAGAAGAGAGTTCATCTGGCATTAGAATTGGCCTCAAGGACATAAGCCAAGAATTCATATTAGAATGTTCAAAAGGATACATGATTAGCTTATTTCAAACAGCATCAATTCCCAAGAGTTCCATCTACTGGCATATGTAGGCATCATGTTGTCAAAGGAGCAAGAAAAGACTGGAAGATTTTTTTAAGATTTATTTATTCATCTGAATGTCAGAGTTACAGAGAGGGAGGGACATGCCTACGAAACTGGGATACCAGGGGCCGGTGCTGTGGCGCAGATGGAGATCTTCCATCTGATGGTTCACTTCCCAAATGGCAACAGCCAGGGCTGGGCCAGGCCAAAGCCAGGAGCCAGGAGCCTCATCAGGGTCTCCCACATGGGTGCAGGGGCCCAAGCACTTGGGCCATCATCCGCTGCTTTTCCTAGGCCATTAGCAGGGAGCTGGATCAGAAGCTGAGCAGCCAGGACTCGAACAGGCACCCATATAGGATGCCGTTGCTGCAGGCGGTGGCTTTACCAACTACACCACAATGCCAGCCCCAAGACTGGAAGATTTGCAAGACCCTAGTTAAGTAAGACCCTGAAGTGATCACCCAAAAGCAGAGAAAGGCAAATGCATAAGGGCTGTGCCCCAGAGCAGGGGTTGCAATGGTATAGTTTGGAATGGGGACACACATTAGACCTACCAGACATAGACATGATCTTGACCTCATCTGTTGGAAATGCAAATTCTAGTGTGCCTTGGCTGGCTTAGGACAGACTGAGAAACCAGTCAGTTGAGGAACTGCCTAAGAAACTGGGATGGGGGGCCAGCGCTGTGGCACAGAGGGTTAAAGCCAAGGCCTGCAGCACCGGCATCCCATATGGGCGCCAGTTCGAGTCTGGATGCTCCACTTCTGATCCAGCTCTCTGCTATGGCCTGGGAAAGCAGTAGAAGATGATCCAAGTCCTCTGGCCCCTGTACCTGTGTGGGAGACCTGGAAGAAGCTCCTGGCTCCTGGCTTCAGATCAGCTCAGCTGTAGCCATTGCAGTCATTTGGGGAGTGAACCAACGGATGTAAACAGTGGATGGAAGACTCTCTCTCTCTCTCTCTCGCTCTCGCTCTACCTCGCTATGTTACTCTTTCAAATAAATAAAATAAATCTTTTTTAAAAAAAGAAACTGGGATAGGGAAGCAGGCAGCGGATGCTCTTCAGTATCCTTGACTAGATGAGGATTAAATGAAGTTAAAGGAAATCAGGTTTCAGATCAGGTTTCAGTTTACGACAAAGAAGAACCTTACAGAGGAGTGTGTTCCCATGATCGCAGAGCCTGAATTATCACCTGCCAGTAGATCTACAGAGAATATATATTCATCTGATAAGAATGACATCAAGGGTCGGTGCTGTGGCAGAGCAGGGAAGGCCACCACTTGCAACCAGGCATCCCACATGGATGCCAGTTTGAGTTACGGCTATTCCACTTCCAATCCATCTCCCTAATAATGGCCTGGGAAAAATAGCAGAGGATGGCCCGAGTGCTTACACCCCTGCCCTCCATGTGGGAGACTTGGCTGCTGGCTTCAGCCTGGCCCAGTGCTGGCCTTGTGGCCATCTTGGGAGTGAAACAGTAGACGGAAGCACACTTGCTCTCTTGCTCTCCCTCCCCGCCCATAACTCTTTCAAATAAATAAATCTTTTTCTTAAAAAAGAAGATTGACTTCAAATAACTTTTAAATTTCCTTCCAATCTGAGATTTCCTGACAAAGACACAACATGAGAGCAAAGTACTTGTCCAGAGTACATGTGTAGGTACTCAACAAGGAGTGGATGGATAGATGGGTGGAAGGATGAACTGACAAATGAATGAGCAAGCGGGCAGACAGACAGAAGATGAGAAATGCAACTTGACATTTTCTGGTACTCAGTACCACTTACCTATGGACACATTAGCTGCAGGAAATAAACTGGACCCTACAGGGGAAGAAATGAAATATATTAGTGTTCCCTAAGAATCTGTCATCACTTATCTTTGAGTACCCACATATATGCTACATTTTCTGGGTGTGGAAGAAATTTGCTAAGAAAATTAAAATTTCAAATAAAAATTTCTTTCTTTATTCTGACTGGCTAATTCTGAACAGAGCATACTGATTTCCTATCTAATATGGAATCTGGTGCATTCTGTACTGCCCTACTCTGACAGTTAGGAAACTGAGCTCCAGAATCAAAGAAAAACTTGAGCAATAGGGAAGCAGTCACTGGCCAGGGTACACAATTCTGCTATTTCTTCTCCCAGCTGATTTCTCTTCTCATATCTGGCTTCACATGCCTTGCTTGCATTGATTTTTTATTGTTGTTTTTTGAAGATTTAGTTGATTTTATTTGAAAGTCAGAGAAAGAAGAAGAGAGAGAGGGAGAGAGAGAGAAGGAAGAGAGAGATCTGGGGCCGGCGCCGTGGCACAGTAGGTTAATCCTCCGCTAGCAGCACCAACATCCCATATGGGCGCTGGTTCTAGTCTTGGTTGTTTCACTTCCAATCCAGCTCTCTGCTGTGTCCTGGGAAAGCAGTAGAAGATGGCCCAAGTCCTTGGGCCCCTGTACCAGCATTGGAGACCGGGAAGAAGCACCTGGCTCCTGGCTTCAAATCGGCACAGTTCCAGCCGTTGCGGCCATTTGGAGAGTGAACCAATGGAAGGAAGACCTTTCTCTCTGTCTCTCCCTCACACTGTCTGTAACTCTACCTCTCAAATAAAATAAATAAATCTTTTTTAAAAAAGAGAGAGAGAGAGATCTTCCATCCACTGGTTCACTCCCCAGATGGCCACAACAGCCAGGGCTGGGTCAGGCCGAAGCCAGAAGCCAAGAGTTCTTTCCAAGTCTCCCAGGTGGGTGGCAGGGGCACAAACACTTGGGCCATCTTCTGTTACTTTTCCCAGGTGTATTAGCAGGGAGCTGGATTGGAAGTGGAACAGCTGGGACATGGACTGGTGCCCCTATTACACGCAGGGAGATTTTTTCACCCACTATGCCACAACACTGGGCCCCACATTGATTTTTTAACCATGGGTCCTGTCACATACTTTTCCAACATGAGACATTTCTGCGGGCCTACCAAAAGAAGGACTCTTCATGGCCAAGGTTTCAATGAAACAAAATTTCTAACACCTTTTACACAAAAAATATAGTTTGGGAGTGGTTTTCAAATACATTAAAGCATGTCCTAGAGTAAAAAAAAATTTTACAGGGGCTGATGGCTCACTTGGTTAATCCTCCGCCTGCAATGCCGGCATCCCATATGGGCACTGGGTTCTGTCCCGGTTGATCCTCTTCCAGTCCAGCTCTCTGCTGTGGCCCGGGAAGGCAGTAGAGGATGGCCCAAGTCCTTGGCCCCTGCACCTGTGTGAGAGACCAGGAAGAAGCACCTGGCTCCTGGCTTCAGATCGGGGCAGTGCCGGCCGTAGTGGCCATTTTGAGAGTGAACCAGCAGGAGGAAGACCTTTCTCTCTGTCTCTCTATCTATACCTCTACCTGTCAAATAAAAAAATTTTTTACAACACAACCAAATATGCGTCTAAACAATAGTTTTCCTACAATATGCCATTCATTTCATTGTTTCTATTTTATTGTTTAAGGTGCTGGTGAGAATCAGTAATTGGACTTTATGCACACTAAATGCATAGGGACACAAGATCTGAAAAGCACTGCTGAAGAGATGATTATCAGAAAGTATTTGTGGGAAGTACAGCCATGGACCACATGGCCCAAAACTGTTGCCAAAATTAGGAGCAAAGGCCTGAGCCCCTCAAAAACCCACAATGTTGTCAGTTCCAAGAATGAAAGTAGTAATAGTTATTACATAACATGTGAGATTAGCTAACTGTAGAAATTAATTCAAGAGAACATGGAGCTGCAGGGATCCGGAAATACTCAAGTCCAATCAAGATGTCCAGGAGGAACACAGTGGAAATCCTACTGGGTTAATTCTAGTAAGAAAAGTGTAACAGGAAAAGCTTAGAGCTGACCATTTATTCTGCCCTCTCTGAAGAAATCCTGTTAATAGTAGGAACCAACAGCAAGGGGATCTTGTAAGAAGGAAGTCAAAAAAAAACAAGGATTTTTTTTCATTGGACTCCTTCCAGGAAAGTCCCACAGCCTCTGACCACAAACAGCCACTCTGCCTGCAGGGGGTTGGGCACGACCCTCTCACGGCTCAGTGACACTTGTCCCCTCTACTGGAACAACAAAACAACTTCTGGTTTAAACATAGCTTTGCTACACATTTTTTCCCTAAAATAGTGAGAACACACTCTCCAGCTAATATGATTTTCTCATCTGCTTGTCAGTTCTCTCAGAGTAAATCAGTAGATGGGGATCTTGACTGACATGCATCGGTCTTGTGGGTTTGGTGACAAGACCACTTCTGCTCTGAATGGAACATCAAGGTTATGGAAGGCAAAGAAGCAGACCTGCTTTAGGGCAGCAATTCTGGGATGACGACACTCCAGAGAAAGCCCACCTGGGCAGCCAGCCAGCTGGTCTCAAGGAAATCCGTCCTCATGACTCCATCACTCGACCTGTAACAAGTTATTCAGAGGTTGATAAATGACAAACCAAATAAAAATGTATTCGTTTCACAGAGACCTGCACTGAATTCATGTCCTTTACCCAGCAGGAATGAGGGATGTTATTGAGACTGTCAAATTTGCTCTCAGACATCAGAGCTGGGTGCAGTCCAAGCTTCCTGAGACTGCAGTCAATATTTTTAAGGGAAGACGGAACAATTTGTGTCATAGAGTCTGATGGCCGTATTATGCCTTTCTATTTCCAATCAACTGCTGGGGCTTTTTGTTACTTCTCCACATCATTCATTCATTTCGTGATCATTCAGATTCAGTGGTCACACAAGGGTTCAGGGCTTCGGATGGGCATTTGGCATGGCTATTAAGACCTGCTTGAGGGCCAGCGCCGTGGCTCACTTGGTTAATCCTCCACCTGCGGCACCGGCATCCCATATGGGCGCTGGGTTATAGTCCCGGTTGCTCCTCTTCCGTCCAGCTCTCTGCTGTGGCCCAGGAGGGCAGTGGAGGATGGCCCAAGTGCTTGGGCCCCTGCACCCGCATGGGAGACCAGGAGGAAGCACCTGGCTCCTGGCTTCCAATCGGCAGAGTTCCGGCCGTAGTAGCCATTTGGGGGGTAAACCAACGGAAGGAAGACCTTTCTCTCTGTCTCTCTCTGTCTATAACTCTACCTGTCAAATAAATAAATTAAAAGAAGACCTGCTTGAGATACCCACATTCCATATCAGTCTAGCTTCCTGCTAAAGTGTACCCCAGGAAGCTGCAGGTGATGGCTCAATTATTGGGGTCCCTCACATGCATATGGGAGACTCAGACTGAGTTCCAGCCTTCAGCTTTGGCCTGACCCAGCCCTGGCTGAGGCAAGCATTTGGGGAGTGACTATCAGATGGAAGTGTCTGTCTGTCTGTCTCTCTCTTTATATATATGTGTGTGTGTGTGTGTGTGGTATGTGTATACACACATATCTCATATGTACATATCTCAAAGAGTTCAGGGCTTTACCCTCAAGACACTGAAAGTAAGAGTCAGTAAATATTATTTTTTTGACAGGCAGAATTAGACAGTGAGAGAGAGAGACAGAGAGAAAGGTCTTCCTTCCGTTGGTTCACCCCCCAAACGGCCGCTGCAGCCGGTGCGCTGGGCCAATCCGAAGGCAGGAGCCAGGTGCTTCCTCCTGGTCTCCCATGCGGGTGCAGGGCCCAAGCACTTGTGCCATCCTCCACTGCCTTCCCGGGCCACAGCAGAGAGCTGGCCTGGAAGAGGAGCAACCGGGACAGAATCCAGCGCCCCGACCAGGACTAGAACCTGGGGTGCCAGCGCCGCAGGCGGAGGATTAGCCTATTGAGCCGTGGTGCGGGCCTAAGTCAGTAAATATTATAAATAAATATGAGAAATATAAAGTTACGTCATCAAGTAGGATCGATACGAAGGAGAGAGTGAAAGATTTCACAACGAAGATGTCTGAGGTAGGTTTGGGGCAAAATAGGAGATGACAAAGCAGACTAGTGCAGACCAGTCACTGTAGGAAGAGAAAACACGCACAGGAGTTCGGACTGGACTCACCAATTCCTGTGGTCCAAAGGGACATTGTTGCTACGGCTGTGCTGCTGTATTTTTCAGAAGGGCGTCACAATGAACTTTTTAACGACCTTCCTGTAGAAACAGAAGATGAACGGGAAGAGTCCATGGTCAAGACTAGAATTAGAGTCCAATAAGGTGACTTTGTATCTCTAGCACTAGCTTTGTGGGGCTGTCTAGGAGCTACAACAGACATGAGGCTGCCATATCACATTGCTTTGACTTGGATTTTTCTGTTTGGCTTTTCTACAAAGGTGGAATGAAAGGTAATGTGAACTCTTGCCACAGGAAAACAAATAGTTTCAGTGATCGTCCATCTTGTCTTATTTTCCAAGACCATCTCCAAATGCTAGGGAAATCATGTTAGAGGCACGCACAGCACTTTTAGCTAGTTTTAAAAAACACATGATTTGTCTCTTTCTATGTAGTCCTTAAACACCTAACTGTGTGAAGGGGCACTCAGAAGTGGCAATGCCGGCCGGCGCCGCGGCTCAACAGGCTAATCCTCTGCCTTGTGGCGCCGGCACACCGGGTTCTAGTCCCGGTCAGGGCGCCAGATTCTGTCCCAGTTGCCCATCTTCCAGGCCAGCTCTCTGCTGTGGCCAGGGAGTGCAGTGGAAGATGGCCCAAGTGTTTGGGCCCTGCACCCCATGGGAGACCAGGATAATAAGTACCTGGCTCCTGCCATCGGATCAGCGCAGTGCGCCCGCCGCAGCGGCCATTGGAGGGTGAACCAAGGGTTCAGGATGCAGGGCCAGGGTTGATAGTTCAAAGCCAACAGTCTGAAAGAAGCCTGAGTCCTGCAGCATCCAATGAACCATGGTAGTGCCTTTTTAAGGCACAGAATGGTTAAAGACACATTCATGCAGGGGTTTTGTTGAAAAGATTTTTGTCTCCTCGAGTTTCTGCCAACTGCAAGTACTGTACACTACTTTATGGAGTGGAGTTCTTCTATGATACCAGAAATAAGCATAACAAGAAAACTTATTTCTTAAATCAAAGTTTGAGAGAACCTGAGGATAAACTCACATTTCTCCTAAGTGTCTTAAGCTTGAGTGTCTCATAATTTTTCATGAGTCACTGATATACACAAAAAAACTCATCATTGATTCTGTTATGATGCCAGAACAGGGTCAAAACGCCAATCGTTGTTTAAGCTAGCATTTATTTCTTTGTTCATATGTTTGTTTAGGTAAGCCTCATCCCAGTAAGAATTAGAGATCGTTTTTTGAGTGAGCAAATACAGGATGTTTGTATACCGTCTTCCTGAACAATAGAGTTAAGATACATCATTAACGCATCTAAAGCATATTTAAATACATAAGTTATATCCAGAAATAAATATGTGTACATAAAGCATTTTTTAAATAAGGCATTCAGTCACCTAACAGAAGCATTGCCCTTCCACTTCTGCATTTACATTGAAACATCAGACGGCGTAGGGAGTCAAACAGTAGACTTCATTAGTACGTTTAAAAAAGCATATCAATCAATAGAAACAAAAGACGTCTCCAGGGCCTGCCTACCATCTCAGCGTGTGAGGGTTTGATAACCAGCTGCGATTCCTGACTCCAACTTCCTACTGAAGTAGGCCCAGGGAGGCAGTGCTGATGGCTCAAGTGGTTGGGTCCCTGGTTGAGACCCCGATTATGTTCCTGCCTTCATCTCAAAGAAATAATTTTTTAAAAAACTCACCAGGAGTCCCTAGACTGACAAACTACTTAAGAGTAAATTCAAAGATGCAAATTATATCAGATTTTTTTTAGGAATTTTAAATGTAAATGTTAGTAGTGGTAAGTTTCATAAGTTGATTTTCAGGTCAGTTTGTTTTCCCTCTCTGCTCGGTTTCGTAAACACGTCACCACGTGTACATTTAGCAGTTAAGCACAGGTTCTGGGAGCAGAGCAGTAATACAGCCACTGCTCCACTTCTAGGATCCAACAGGCCACACTGCTAGCTCTGATTTCACTCCCGGAAGTGGCTTCAAAGCCATTAAACTGCTCTACAAATTCAATTAATGATGAAAAGAAATGGATGAGGTTTCTCTTTTTAAGGCATTTTTTATTTTAATTTTTAATTAGTTTTTAACAGATTCAATATGCTTTGTAGATAAATTCTAAGAACATAATGATATTCCCTTCCTTCCTTTTTCCCTCACTCCCACTCTTTTATTTTTTACTTTTTGAGATAACATATTTTAAAATTACATTATAATAAAAAGGCTTAATACTTTACCAAAAAGAAATTTAACAAGTTAAAAGCAAAAGGACCTTAGTTTAATGGGAATATAGACAATGGTTATAAACAATAATTGAATGAAAAAAATTATTATTTCACTCATATACAGTACATTTTAAAGTAATGAAAGATCATTACAACTATAGTAGTATAACATTCTTAACCACTGGTTTAACAAAGTTATAAAGCAAAGTTTTACAAAACTGTGTTTGCAGTAATACTGATGCACACAGACATTTCTTTCTTTGTTTTCTTTCTTCTCTTTTTTGTTTTTTAAATTTTAGCTCCCACATAGAAGAGAGAACATGTGGTATTTGTCTTTCTGAGGCCAGCTTATTTCACTGAATATGAAGATGGACACCTCGGTCAGTTCCAGATTTTGCTTGTTGTGAACAGTGCTGCTATGAACATGCTGGTGCAGGTATCTCTTCGACTCACTGTGTTCAAGTCTTCCGGGTATAAACCCAGTAATGGGATTGCTGGATAATGTAGCAAGTCTATTTCTAGTTTTTTAACAAATCTCCACATTGTTTTCCACAGTGGCTGCACTAATTTACATTCCCACCAACAGTGCATAAGTGTTCCCCTTTGTCCACATCCTCATTAGCATTTGTTACTCTCTGTGTTTTGGATTTTAGCCATTCTGACAGGGGTGCGGTGATATCTCCTTGTGGTTTTAATTTGCATTTTCCCTGATGGCTGGTGATGTTGACTTGAGCGTTTCTTCACATACTTGCTCGTCATTTCTATTTCATCCGTTGAGAACTATTTACTGAAATCCTTTGCCCATTTCTCAATTGGATTGGTTGTTTTTCTATTGTTGAGTTGCTGATATATTCAGGATATTAATCTTTGTCAGATAGGTGGTTTGTAAATATTTTTCCCATTCTGTTGAATGTCTCTTAACTCTATTGATCATTTCATTTGCTGTACAAAAGCTTCTGAGGTTGATATAGTCCCATATGTTTAGTTTTGCATTTGTTGACTGTGCTTTGGGGTCTTGTCCAAGAAGCCATCCTTTACACCAACGTCCAGGAGTATTTCGCTTACATTTTCTTCCAGCAACTTCATAGTTTCAGGTCTTTTATTTTATTTTATTGACAGAGTCAGACAGTGAAAAAGAGAGACAGAGAGAAAGGTCTTCCTTTTTCGTTGGTTCACCCCGTAAGTGGCCGCCACAGCCGGCGCACTGCGGCCCGTGTGCTGTGCTGATCCGAAGGCAGGAGCCAGGTGCTTCTCCTGGTCTCCCATGGGATGCAGGGCCCAAGGACTTGGGCCATCCTCCACTGCACTCCCTGGCCACAGCAGAGAGCTGGACTGGAAGAGGGGCAACCGGGACAGAATCCGGCGCCCTGACTGGGACTAGAACCCGGGGTGCCGGTGCTGCAGGCAGAGGATTAGCCTAGTGAGCTGCGGCACCGGCCATGTTTTAGGTCTTAAATTTAGGTCTTTGATGCACTTTGAGTTGATTTTTGCATACGGTGAGAAGTAAAGATCTGACTTCATTCTTCTACATATATAAATAAGGTTTTGCCAGCACCATTTGTTAAAGAGATTATAGTTACTCCACTGTGTGGTCTGAGAACTTTTGTCAAAAATCAGTTGACTATATTTACATGAATTAATTTCTCGGCTCTCTGTTCTGTCCCATTGATCTGTGTATTGGTTTCTATGCCATTACCACGCTGTTTAACTACCATAGCTTCATAGTGTGTTTTGAAGTCAGGTATTGTGACTCCTCCAGCTCAGCTTTTCTTACTCAGGATTGCCTTGGCCATTCGGGATCCTTTGTGATTGCATAAGAATTTTAGGATTGGTTTTTCTAACTCTATAAAGAACACCATTGATATATATATATATATATATATTTTTTTTTTTTTTTTTTTGACAGGCAGAGTTACACAGTGAGAGAGACAGAGAGAAAGGTCTTCCTTCCGTTGGTTCACCCCCAAATGGTCACTACGGCCGGTGCTGTGCCAATCCAAAGCCAGGAGTCAGGTGCTTCCTCCTGGTCTCCCATGCGGGTGCAGGGCCCAAGCTCTTGGGCCATCCTCCACCGCACTCCCTGGCCACAGCAGAGAGCTGGACTGGAAGAGGAGCAACCGGGACAGAATCCGGCGCCCCGACAGGAGTGCTGGTGCAGCAGGCGGAGAATTAGCCTAGTGAGCCGTGGTGCTGGCCACCATTGATATTTTGATGGGGACTCTACTGAATCTGTAAATTGCTTTAGGTAGTATATATTTCCAGTTTTTTTGTGTCCTTGATGATCTATTTCATAAATGTTTGCTGATTTTCATTGTAGAGATCTTTCACTTCTTTGGTTAAATTTATTCCTAAATATTTAATTCATTGGTGACTCTTGTTAATGTGATTTCTTGATTTCTCTTCCTGAGAGATCATCATTGGCATATAAAATAGCTCCTGTTTTTTGTATGTTTATTTTGTACCCTACAACTTTACTGAATTGGTTTTCTAAATTGGCTTTTTGGTGGAGTGTTTAGGTTTTCCCCACGTACAACATCATGTCATCTGCACACGTGGATACTTTGACTTCCTCTTTTCCAATTTTGATGTCCTTCCTTTCTCCTCCCTAATGCTCTTGCTGAAACTTCCAGTGCTATATTGAAGAAGCGTGGTGACCATGGACGGCCTTGTCTTGTTCCATATCTGAGGGAAAACGCTTTCAGCTTTTCCCCATTCAGTATGATACTGGTTGTCGCTTTGTTATAATTTTGAGGAGTGTTCCTTCTATACCTAATTTGTGGAGGGTTTTTTTTTTTTTAAATCATTAAGAGGTGTTGAATCTTATCAAATGCTTTCTCTACATCCATTGAGAT